AGTTAGAAATCACCTGTAGTTAAGTCGCATAAGTCTTGGTGTTTCAGTGAAAGTGAAAAGTAGCTCTTCGTGCATTCTTTGCACAATCCATTCTGCTTCGCTCCCCAAAATCACCAATAAAGCAGTAACTATTGTCATCTTTGTTTCAGTGGCTGATGATTTTATTGCTGGATAAATAGATGATGTACCAGCAAATTAAGTAACGTAGCACAAAAAGGAAAAGGTGAACAGTGATATTACTGCCATATAACATAGCTTTAGTTAATGCAAAATTAATGCTTTGTCTTTCTGGACTAAAGGTCCAAGTCTTCACTTTCCATTAAAATCTGCAGCAGCACCTAAGCTTAGCTGTAATATGTCACTACTGTGTGAGGTTATTTCCCATCATTTCAAACAGCCTAGAAGGCCACTTGCATTATCAATTTATATGAATAAAAAGCACAGCTGCAATAACACTAAGGTAAGAGAGAAAAGCAGACCTGTTACATTCTTCAGGCCATTAGCAGACTGCTAAAGACCCGAATTGGGAAGAAAGTTACCCCTATGGGCAAGTTAGCATATAACTGTCTATTATGAGCTTTTCTATCTTCCTCCAAGGCTGATACTTGGCACTGAGAGACAGGATGTGAGCAAGGGGGAGAGTTTGTGAGCCAGTTCCTCTGTTTCAGTTATACTTAGCTCCATGACTACATTGCTGCTAGTACCTAAGCTAGTTGCATTCATGTCATGTAGGCATGCCCTTAATGGGTAGGCTTTAAATGACCCTATATTTAGCTTTTGCTTCTTCCTAAAGCGTTCGACAGACGTTCAGCCTATGAAGGGGTGCAATGACAAGCTAAAGACCTCTGGGACCATCTTATCAGGATTTCTGTTCAACAGAGAGAAAAAAATCAGTAATCTAAACATATGAGAAATAGAATTGGAGAATAAGTAGGGCAAGGGGTCAGAAAACACTGTGTAGGGCTTGACCCAAGCCAACTCTAATCAATAGAAAAATTTCCACTGGCTTCAGAGGCTAAGATTAGTTAGATGAGTTATTGCTATTTATATCATTGAATGTAGGAAAGAAGTCACAGTTATAGCTATCATTATAAGGAGTTTTAGAGGGCAATGTTTAAGCTAGCAACCGAAGAAAGCAAGTAAACCTTTGCTTTAAAAGAAGCTTGAAAAGCAAGGATAGGTTTGGTATCAGTTGCCTCACCTGAGAGAAGTGTCCTTGTATGAACTATTTCTACCTGCAATTGTGGAGCACAGATTTTTCAGTACAGACAGATGATCGGGAGTTTCAGCAGTCAGACTGGCCAGACAGAAAAACAGTGACAATTTTCTATGGGGGAAGATAACTTCTATTATACATAAGCCATCATAAGCTGCAAATGACCAGGGAAGAGAACATGGTCTCACTGCAGATCTGTGCAAATGTCAGGGTTGTTCTTAGCATCAGTCAAAAAGACAAATGTGAGGTTAAGAATTTTCTCCTGAGGTAGTAAAGAACAAAGAAACAGAAAACATGAGGAGCTGTTGGGGCATGAACATATGCTGCTCCTTGGCACTCTTCTTGTAAACAATTTTTTCTCTCTTTGGAAAGTATGTGTTTGGGATCAAATAAATATTATTGTAAATGTGCCAGGCACTGAAGAAATCCAGCTCATCCAAGAGCAGACAAATGCCTGTTGATGGGAACTCCTACGTTCCTGGACGGTGTGTAGATGTTTATTGGGATTAGGAGGGCCCCTCCACAGGGGCAGATAGGTGCAGGCATTCTGTCCTGACCTGAGCAACCTCCAGCATTTCACACCTGAGGAAAAGGAGTCATCATCCTCCACATACTTCTGGTGAGGTGGCCGAAGTGCTTCCTGTCCCACCATCCAGCTATCAACTGCACTTAACTGTTAAGTCAGCATCAGCTGGTGCAACATTGTTGTGCCGTCCCCCATCCAGAGATAGGAGAGTCTGTGGTACAGGTGGGAGTCATTCTGCAACCTCTGGAATTTAAACATGCAGTTTTAGCTGCTCCACCTGTGTGGGGTAGCAGGAAAGAGGGGGAGATATTTGTGACCTGTCCCACTTTCTGTACTTTTTCTCCTCTTCTGCCCCTTCATTTGTCAATGTCCCACTTCAGTGTTTTCAGCAGAGAGCTTCCCCTTCGGTAAATGGAGGCTGAAGGATTCAGAGAACCGGACAAACATGCTGATTCTCAATTGCTCTTCAGGTAATCATCCTAGTGCCCACCCGACCTTCAGGTTGGAAAGGTGAATGCCAGCAGTACACTGTCCCTCAGTAATGCTAGGATTTGCTTTGTCCTTCATGGAAGGGTGAACAACACAGAAGGAACCCCATCTCTGCATGGGGATCAGGGAATACCCACTGACCATTACCTCTTGAAGGGAATGTTACTTGCAGAATAAGAAGAAGCCCAGGCACCACAGCTTGGTCAGAATCCAGAGCCAGAGGTTATTATGCCAGCTGTTCGTGTGGGTTTGGAAAAGGTAGGTGGAAAGAGGCTGAAGAAAAACTTAGCTTCCGTATTGCAGCCCATTGGCAGAGTGTTGTCTTCCCTCAGGTTACAGGGAAGAATAGAACCCTTGACACTCTCTAAGACAGTTTTCTCCTCCAAACACCGAAGTGCCTTTCACAGACTACTGTGACAGAACATATCTCTGTGCTGTCCACAGGAGTGGACAAGACCTTCCCCGTTAGGAACTCCAGGATGGGACTTACATCAGTTGCACCACCCCATGGCTACCCACATCCAGCTCTGCTTGCTGGACCTTCTCAGGAAACACACCTTTTGGCTTCCTCTGTTGTTGTAGACAAGCACCCTGAGTGGAAAACTGGGTGGTGGGCCCATGACTTGCTTTTCCCATACTCTGTCCCTGAGAGAAATGCTTGGTTCTTCCAACCTGCATTTGTGTGTGTGTGGAGCCACCTCAGGAGAGGAACTAGACAGGATGTGGTATGGGAGTGTAGGGAGCAGTCCAAGGTAGTATGATAGCACAGGGAGCAACCCCAACGAAGGGGCTGATCTAGGTAGGGTGGCTCAGAGCTGCCAAACGCAGCACAAGGTGAAACTGTTCTAATGATCCCTGAGAGTCTCAAAAGCAGATGGTAGAAGATATGAGAGGCTAGAATCCCTCTGGGAGGGGAAAAGTCCTGTCCTGGTGGTAAAGAGATTGAGATTGTGAGCAATAGTGTGATGGCCTCTCCCTATAGCATCCTATGAAGCTGCCTATGTTGCCATTCCCATTTGTCCCACCAGGCAGGAGCAGCAGCATTTGTGCTTGCCCACAGAGGAAGTGGGGGAGGAGTCCTTCCTCTTATTGACCACTCTAAGGAATGGTGTCCATGGACCCAAAAACCCTGAAGCCACCCTTGAGCACCACAGACTGCCTGAGGCCAGGTGGACGTTTGGTCTGGGTGCCAGTGCCTGCATACTCATCTCTGGGTGCTTCTACCACCACCTGCAAATTGAAGTCTCCTGCCTTAACTGTTAGCAGGAGCTCAAGTCCTGTATATTTCTTGGCAATCTCAAGTGAACATCTAGGGTTGGTAAGCCACTGGTTAGCAGATACTAAACAAGCACCTGCTTTGCTACAATCCCAAAGTAACAAAAACAATCCCAGAGACACAGAATGCACGGACAGAGAGGACTTTCTGCTGTTGTTCCTGATGTTCAGCTTGGTTTTCTATGAGATTCTGGTTTATACACTATATTCTCCTTGGAGTTTGTTGGCCAGTTCCAGCTGTTGAGAGGTTTGACATGACACAACTAAAACACATCAAGTTTGTGCTTGGTTCATGAAGACCAGCAGCCAGGCAGAGGAGGGAGGGGGACACCCAACCAGGGAAAGAAGGGTGGGATGTTGTGCCCTGTTCCTGGCCATGCCCAGCACTGCTGAGCAGGCAGGGGCTCTGTGAGACCGCCGGGGACAATGCAGCCGGGCTTAGGAAACAGTTTTGAGGAGGAAAGCTGAGGGTATGAGGAGGACAAGAAGCTTTTGCTGTAGGAATCTGGGGCTTGGAACGGTGGTGGGTGCTACCTATGGACCTAGAGGAAAGCTGGATGCCTCATGGCTGCTGGGCTGCAGGCAGAAACACAGGAAAACTCACCCGTTTACCTTATTCGAGAAGTGAGGAAGCTCTCCCAAACTGACCCGTTTACCTCATTCGAGACGAAAGGAAACTCACCCAAATTAGGAGGCGGCAGACTACGTTTAGCTGTGTTTAACCCCCGCTCCTTGACCTCATTTAACCTCAGTGCCTTCCTCTTAGCCGGAGGAGGTCAAAATACACCGCATTCCCCCTGCCTCCGGGGCGGTGAGGAAGAACATTTTGGGCTCCACTTCGTGGAGAGCCTATCCTCCTTAGCGTTGACAGGGGTTATGCTTCTTTAGGGGTTCCCTTCTGGGAGCAGGAGGTAGGAGAGTGGAGGATGTCCCCCCCACCCTGGCGGAGAGCCCCTGCTTTGCACCCACAGTGGGTCCTCTGGGGGCTTTTCCCCAGAGGTGCCTTTCCCAGTTTTGGGAAGGCGGGAGCGGGGGGAGATCCGCGCCTGTGGCGCGTGAAGCGGTGTGCGCACCGCCGAGCTGTTTGTCCCGGCCTTTCCTTTCCCTCACAAGAGCAGAGAGCACACCCGCGCTCGCAGCCGCTCCGGCGCGCAGAGCTGATGAGCTGCGGCAAGCCGAGCACCGGCATTTCCTGCCGCTGCTGTGCGCGGAGCGGCCGCCGGCGGATGCTGGCACTGCTGCGGTGCTCCGTCCCCGTGCCCCGCAGTGGGCGAGCACTGCACCGGCAGTGGTGACCGGTTGCGGTGCCTTCACCACAGGGGCACTCCCCCCCCTTCCGCACCGCTACCGCCGCAGTGCCCCCACGCACGCGCCCGCGGCACGTGAGCTCCCGCGGCCCGCGCGGCGCGGAGGAAAGTGTGTCACTGGGTGAGGGGGGCGGCCGGGGGCGGGGCGGGGCCGGCGGGGCGGGGCCGGGGCCGGGGCTGGGGCCGGCGGTGCCGCACTCCGCGCTGCTCCCGATCGCTTTTGTTGTAAAGGGGAGGGCGCCGCGGCGGGTACAGGTGGCATTTGCTGCAGCCGCTCTGACGGGACACAGCGCGGCTGCTTCCCGCTCGCCCGCTGCATGTAGCGCTGCGGCGGGAGACGGCCGCTGGAGAGACTGAGACCGAGCGGAGCTGAGCACAGCACAGCCGTGCCGGGCCCGGCGGAGCCCAGCGCGGCGCCGCCCCTGCCCCTGCGGGAGGAGGCCGCCATGGAAGTCAGCGCTGGTAAGCTGCCGCTGCGGGCAGGGGGTACGGGGGGGTGCTTGTGCACGGGGCAGTCCCGCCGGGCCGGGCGGGCAAGGGCTGCCGGTGGCGCCGCGGCGTGTGTGTGTGTGTGTGTGTGTGTGTGTGTGTGTGTGTGAGTGAGAGCACGGCGAGCGGCGGCGCTTGCCCGGCCGCGGCCCCGCTGGTGCCCGGGACGGCGGCGCGCTGCCTCACATGGACCCGCCGGGCGAGCCATGTGCGCGCTGTGTTTACGTTCCGCGCGGCGTGCCCGCTCATTGGCCTTGCGGGGCGGTGACGCGCGGATTGCATAATAGTGCCGGGGCGGCGGCGCGGGGCTGCTGGCGGCGCGGACACGTGAGGCGGCCGCTGTTTTGGTGACCTACATTCGGGGCGGCGGCGGCGGGGCGCGACGGGGACACGTGGGGCTGCGGCGGGCCCGGCTCCGCCCCCAGCCGCGCCAAGGCCGCGGTCGAGGGAGGGCGGGGGGGGGGGGGAGCGTGAGGTCCCGGTGCGGGGAGGGAGCGGGGGAGGTGCCCGCACGCGCGCGGCCGTGTGCGGCGGCGGGGGCTGCCTGCTCGCCGGCCCCGCACGTGGAGCGGCCCGGTGCGCGGGGGAGGCGTTGTGTAACGGGGAGGGGGCGGCGGGACGGGCCCTTCCCGCGCAGCCCCGGGTCCTGCTTCCTGCGCCCTTCTCTTCCCCGCTAGCGAAGGGCGGTCAGTGGTGCCCCCGCAGCGCCGTCCTTGGGGCCGGGGGAAGCGGTTAAGCGTGGACCCAGTTTGCCGCCTCCTTCGCTCTTCTGTATCGCTACACCTTCCTTTCAGATGCTTGAGCGCTACGGTGTTTCCCCCTTCCCCTCATTAATTGAATCCGTGCACCGGGTTCCCTAAGCAAAACCCAGGACTGCCTTACCCACCGGCCATCGGGGGTCCCTTTCTGTAGGGGATCAGTTTAAAAAACCCGACCAGTGCACAGACCAGGGGCTTTGTTTTGAGCTGTCACCCTGAGCTATTGTATGGGAATTGACTCTGACTGCTGGCCAAACAAAAATAAGGCTTACAGGGAGACATAGCTTCTAAAATAAGAAAAGTAATGGGAGTCTTGACCGTGATGCAGACAAGACTGACAAGCTCCCTAGGATACAGCAGTAGCACAACTCTGTGGGCTCCTTAGGCTTTCGGAAGACAAGGAGTGAACCTCCCCATAGGCATACCCTTCCCATGCTCCCCTGTGACATTGGTGTTACCCTTGAGAGAAAAGGAACATCAGTGTTTATGAGGCAGGGTTTAGCGATAGTGGGGCAAGGTGGCAGCGTGGAGGAACACGGGAGTTCCCTGCAGGGACTGTGTTTGTGTGCCCTGCTTTGCCCTTTGCAGATAAGGACGGTGCCTGCTAAGAAGGAGCCTGGTGCTTCTCGGAGCAGGTGGACTGCGAGCTTTGACCTGGCAGAGGCACGTGCACCCAGACCTTTGTCAGATGGGTGATGTCTGGCACTAACACGGGTGTTTGGCAAAGTCTTTTCCTCATGTTGTTGCTGGCCCCGTGTCTCCCTTGCAATTCTCCTTGCTCCAAAAACCCCCAATCCTGAATGTGTGCCGTGCTGCAGGGAGGATTTATTGGAACAGAACACAATCTGTGCAGGAATGATGGCTGTGGTGGGGCATAGGGGCACGGGTGCCCAGGAGTCTGAGAATCAACTTGCATGTAGTGCACGTGTCACACAGCTGCTTGGTCTGACTTCTGCCCCACCAGGCAGGGGATCCTGTGGTGCATGCTTTTTTATGGTGTTGGTGGTGGTTTCCTTGGTAGAAAACATAGATGATAAAGAGGAAATGGGCCAGTGAAGCTGCTGCAGAAATGCTGAGAGGACCATTACAGCTGATAGAAGTAATGAAAATTTGTCTACCTGCAAGCAGTGATCTTTCCAGGGTTGTATAACAGCGCTGCCTTTGTCTGTGAGGAGGTGATGTCTGATGTGGGGAGCTGCAGCCCCAACCTGCCATGCCAGCTCAGTTGACCAAGGACCCTAAAGACACCAATGCTTTTATTCCTCCAGAGGAAGCCAGCATATGGCCCTTGTAAACTTTTTAATCCTTACTGGTGTGTGAAGTTGTACTGAGTTGTCTGTGAAGACGCTCTAAATAGCAGTACAGGCATGAGCTTGCGGAGTGTAGTTTATTTGAACAGTTGAGTGGCTTTTACTATTGAAGTTCTTATGTGAAATAATGTTTTCACATTGGCTTTTGAAATGCTGAGCCTTGGAGACAAACTCCAGTGAAGTGAAAACAACCTTCTCTTGCTTAGAAGCAAGAAAAAGGAACCTGAGAAAAGCCATTACTGCTCTGAGGTCTATCTGAGGACAAAAAGCTGTTTCATTTGAGGGATTCTCAAGTGCGTCAGATAGCAAGACGCGGCAGGACAGAGACTGCAAATAGCAGCCTAGCAGGTGGAGTTTAGCTACTGCTAGAAGCACTGCGAAGGCTTGCAGTTGGGCAAATGGTGCTCAGTAGGTTAACCAGGCGGCAGTGCTATTACTTTCCCTTGCCCCCTTCCCTTCTGTATCATGAGCACCTCCCAGTCCTTCCTTTCTGTGCCTCTGGCACGCAGCCTGCACGAAGTCTTTCTCCCTGCCCTATTTCTGTCCCTAACCTAGCTTGTTTGCATTCCAGCTCCGCAGCACTGTAAGGGCCTGGCTTTGCTGTGGCTCCTCTGCTCAGAGGGTGGCCAGGGAAGCCCTCCCTGGGCCTCCCCGTGGCCTCTCCCCACTGCCCCGTCCTGCAGCATGGTTTGTTGCTCTGTCCTTTGGGTCTCCTGTTTCAGCTTGACTTTGATCAGAGGAGGCTGATAAGAGGGAAGAAGGGGATGGGGCGGACTGGGAGGTCAGCCCTTGAAAACAAATGGAGAGGAGCAAGTTGGAGGGAGGGAGGCAGGGAAAGGAGTGTGCCCAGGAACACGTGATCTCTGAGTCTGGTGGTGCTGGGTCATGGTGTGGCTCACATGGCAGCGGTGCATGTCTGCTTGTTATGTCACTGTGCTGCCTTTTTTTTCTCGCCTTAGGGGGTGTGATAGCTTACATCAGCTCTTCAAGCTCGGCATCTAGCCCAGCCTCATGTCACAGCGAGAGCTCAGACAGCGGTTTCCAGTCGTCCTCTTCGCCTGTACCATCTTCTCCAAACAGCTCCTCCTCGGAAAGTGGCTGCAGCGGCCGGGGCAGCGAGGGCTCTGATGGGGCACCAAAGAGCGATCGGCTGGAGGAGACTATTAAAACAAACCAGTCGAGTGTTGCTGGCTTGACAAAAGGCCATAATGGAGTCACAAGTATGTTTGGTGCCAGTTCCTGTAACCACTGTTTCCCCCCTGTGTATTGCAACCCTGTGTATTACGACCAGATCCTCTGTGTGGTTTGCTGTGAAGGCATTTCTGTAATTATCCGTAAGCATGGAACTAAAGGATAGTCCTTTAAAATGCATTCAACTGTCGAGCTCCAGCTACTTACTTTGTGCTGTTTTGGTAATTGGAGGGGATCAGTGATAAAGAACTATATTTAAACAATTCTGGAAGGGCAGGAATCAAACTGAGTACTGAATTGAGCATTTTACCACACACCCGGCTGGAATTCAGACTAGTCTTTTGAAGGCTCAAGTCTTTTAATGGCAGAATTGTTTTATCATTTTCATTTGTTATGAATCTAGACTAAACATGTAACAGTTCTACCTTAAAAGTCTTCCCTCACCACCACCCCCCTTTTTTTTTTTCTTATATATAATGTTCTTATCCTAAGTTCTTAGTAAGAACATTTACTTCCTCTTAAAAATTCACTATCAGCTGTGTTTTTGGTGTCACGGCAGAGTTTCCTGAAGATGCAACCTGTTGTAAACTGCTCAGGCGGATGTGTGAATGCATGGATGTATAGATAGATAACATTTTTAGCTCAGTACTAGCTAGGTAAAGAAAAAAAAAACAAAAACAAAACCAGATTTTTGTGGTTTGGTTCTTTTTCAAAACCATGAAAAAAATAAAGTTTTAGTTCCTCTTTACAAATGAAACCCAAATGTCAAATACATTATTTTTCCTGGTAGAATATGTTTCTGCAGGAGTATTTCCAGCTGCCTTTGTTGCTCACTGTTAAGGTAATTTTGTGGTTACTGAAGTCACTGGTAAGACTCCCATTGGCTTCATTGAAAGCAGTGTTAGGCCAGCACTTAGGACTTGCAAAAAGTCTTTACTGAATGTATTGACAAGCTGAAATAAAACAGGTGGGGAAGAGTTTAAAAAACCCAAACCATGAGCATATTTACAGGGCTGAGAAAGTACTTTCAAGTTCAAGCATGCAAGCGTGCCGATCTGGATATGCACTCAATTGAGTAGTGTTTACGTATGAGGATGTGACTGAGTTACCAGTTCTAAATTGTTATCAGATAGGTAGAGTGTATAGCTTGTTTATGAAATATAATAAAATAAATGTCCTTTAATATTTCCATTTTAAAGAAAATATGTTAATTCTCTGTTGGGGAAACTGTAGCCTTTATATGGGCTTACTTTGTCCTGATGGAAAAAACAAGTTGAGCCCAAACTTTGGTAGCCTAGTTAACTAAATGGTCCCTTTAAAAGCGTGTGAATGTAACCAGACTTTCTGCAACTCAGTATAATGCTGCTGTGATTGAAAGTCCAGTGAATACATGCTTTCTCCCTGTCCTGATGAATGCTTCATGTTTGTCTTCCTCCTTCCCCCCTGGCCCTCTCTTGCACTGGTAGCTTCTGAACTGGTCAGGGATTTTGTATGTTCTTGTTTGTTCCTCTGCTGTGTTTTTTGTATGTTGAACTGACCTGACATATTTTGCTTTCAGTCTAGGTTTTAAAAGCTGGAAACACTCTTTTCAGTTGTCATTGGTTTTCTATATCCTTGACTTTTCTGTTCTGATTCTAGAATTTAATGGCATGGTTCTTCTTTGCAAAGTCTGTGGAGATGTCGCTTCAGGATTTCATTATGGTGTTCATGCCTGTGAGGGCTGCAAGGTGAGCTGTGTTTCTGCTCACCTTTCTGCTGGTGAAATTGTCAACTTCTCCCCATAGGGGAAAGGGGGTGATGCTGCCAAAAAAAAATATTGGTATGCTTCTCTGTTAAATTTAAATCTGAGAAATTCAAGGCGGTGTGTAAGTTGCAGGAAAAGGCAAATCACTTAGCAGGACACAGCATCTTCCAAACTCTGCGGTGCTTTCAGTTCTTGTCCCTTGTCCAGTCCTGCCTGACCTGGAGTGCACGGCAGATAACAAGACCTGCAGACAGAGGTGGGAAGGACCATGTCACGCCAGACATGTGAATGTTAATTGCATTAAGAGATAGTGGGTGTGAGTTGTCGTCTGGGCTAGGACACAGAACAAAACAGCTTCAGAAAGGCAGTTCTTTATCACAGGGAAAGCCAGAACTATGTGCTTGCGTGTTCATGCATCAGTAAATCTGTATTTTCTAATACTGTAACAATGAAAATGTTGTGTTCGGTGACAGAGCTTATCAACTTAAGGGTTATGTGAAGGAACCACCTTTGAAGGTCATATGGGACAACAGGATGGTTTTGTTGCCAGACTGGAGATTGAAGTCAAAAGATCTGATTTTGACTTTCATCTTTGTGCTGATGTCATAGGAGATTGAGTGCATCTCTTAGAAACTGTCAGTGCAGTGACAGAGGTAATACTGGAGATATTTTGCTCTTAGCTGCTGACTATGCAGGAAGCAACTTAGCATCTTCTATAATTAGAAATCATAATTAGTTTGCATTATACATAGATCACACACAAAGTATGTCATGAGCAGTAGCAAGTTCTGTAAACTCACTTTGGGCTGATGGCTCTGAAGCAGCTTATGGGAGGCAGGAAAGTTTTCTATGCTTGTGGAGAGGTGAATCTTGGCAGGAGGATTTGACATGTGCTGTAATAATAGTTCTGGGATTTTTGTTTGCTTACAGGGTTTTTTCAGAAGAAGCATTCAACAAAACATCCAGTATAAGAAGTGCTTGAAGAATAACAATTGCTCTATAATGAGAATGAATAGGAACAGATGCCAGCAGTGTCGTTTCAAAAAATGCCTGTCTGTTGGGATGTCAAGAGATGGTATGTTCCTGAGCAGTGGTCCTCTCAGAGGGAATATGCTGCCCACCTTGGAACCGATTGCTAAGGGTCTTAATGGCAGATAACGCTGCCAGCCCTGTTGTCAGGGTCAGGTTACCTGTTTGGGAGTGTTAAGATCAGCTTGCCTTGCTCCCTGACCATCCTGAACTGGTAACATAATACTGTCCCTGGAGGCTAATGCAGTGGGATGCTCTGCAGTGGTCTCTTAGGGGTATGGTTGTAATAAGAGTCTCGATTTTGTTTCTGCGAGTTTGCGTTGTTAGTGTTGCTTTTTCCATGAAAGGGAATTCTGCCTAAGCTGATAGTCTTAGAGTAATCATTATAAAGCCTAAATAGTTAGGTTTGGGTGCATGGGATGAGCATAATGACCGTGTACCTGCTGGGCTTTTTTTTTTTCCCCTTGGAGGGAGGGGGCAGGCAAGGAGGAAAGGGTAATGTCGAGCTGTGTCTCTGACCACCTTGCTTGCTATCCACTCCCTGTGACATTTTAAAGTGTAATGCTGAAGTTGTAGTTCATTTATCTGCTACAGCTTGATGTCACAAACCAGAACTCTTCCTCCTGTTTCACTTTTTAATTTTCTCAGGGTGTTTATTTCACAAGAACCAGGAATCTTTGGCTGTTAATAATTTAGTGGGTGGAGTGTTAAAACTTATCCTAAATAATTGTTCTGAGTTCTTGTCGTGCATGCGAGTTATTTCATCCCCTAGGCGCTTGTTTGCACATAAGGTTGCACCTGCTTTAATGAAAGAGAGTTAGTTACAGTAATGATGGACTACTGCACAAACATAATTACATCAGTCGAAACTGGTTATAAATCCTTGTAAGGCTGTGGTTGGATGGGCTGGTAGAGGCAGTTGTAGTTTCCTTAGGACAGGGTCAAAAATGCTGCAGCCACAATAATGCCCATCCCCTTGCCATCAGAAAATGTCAAGGCAAAGTTATCAGGAAAATGTACCGTTGCACTCAGCACTGACTCTCTTGTTTTGGCAAGTTATATAATTGGTCTATGAGGAGCGGTCTTGTAGGACATATTCAAATATGTTCTGAATTGTGTTTGCGTTCAGCTAATTGTCAGCTCACAAAGTTGTACTGGTTTGGTCAAGTCTTAAAGCCTGACAGTTAACTAAGAACTGTGTGTGGTTCATAGCCAGGTTTGTAGCAAAAGGGGAAAAGGCTTTAGATTATATGCTGTAGAGCTGCCTTCTCTTTGTATGTCAACAGTAGCGTCTATTTCATAGCTCAATCCTTGACTTCAGTGGTAATACCGCTGCTGTAGTACTGGTGAGAGCAGTTAATGTCTTCCTTTGAAAGGCAGGATTTTTGATGGGGGTGCGTATTCTGTGTGCCATGTTAACGCTTTCAGAATTGACCTTCTTTTTCTCTCCTCCTCCCCCACTTTCATCTCCCCACCTTCGTAGCTGTTCGATTTGGCCGTATTCCCAAACGTGAAAAACAGAGGATGCTGATTGAAATGCAGAGTGCCATGAAAACCATGATGAACAGCCAGTTCAGCGGTCACTTACCCAGTGAAGCATTAACAGAACATCAAGATCAGGCACCTCAAGAAGACCTTGCCTCCAAGCCCAAGCAAGAGCGGGAAACCATCAAAAGCCCTTCTTCCCCTCCTGGCGCTGACATGGCGAAGGAAGAAGTGATCGGTATGGTCACTAGGGCCCATAAAGACACTTTCATGTACAACCAAGAACAGTCCCAAAACCCAGCAGAGGTGATGCAGCCCCAGAGTGGGGAGAGAGTGTCAAAGAACACTGAGCAGTACATCTTGAGCAGCAACCACTGTGTTAGTGGGCTCGGCGGCCCTCAGTACCCTGAAAGTGAGCAGCATCTTGGTGGACAGTACAAAGGAAGAAGTGCAATGCATTATCCAAGTGGGCACACCATGTGTTTCCCAAATGGCCACTGTATGAGCTTCACCAGTGGTTATACTCAGCGACTGTGTGATAGGATCCCAGAAGATGGCTATTCTTCAAACAAGAGTACCACTTACTCTTGCAGCACTGGAGGAAGAATGCATCTGGTATATTGATATCAATTGTTTGATATGACTTAGTAAAAGGCTTGGTGATGGCTGTGATCCATCTGTGCCACTTCAGTGAAGCTGCGCACTATTGGCACAACTGCTGAAACCTAAAATAGAGACATGAGTTTGAGAGTACACATTGTGATGAAGGGGAATAGTGGCTCAAGTTGTGTGGAGGGTTTGAAATCATAGAAGTGATGGGGTTTCTTGCTTTTTAGCAAACTGAAAATAGCCTGATGTCAAAGGTTGAAGAAAACTTGCAGGTTTTGCCTGGCTTGACTTAACATGAAAATGGATGTTTATAAATAGAGCTTATAAATTGCCTTCTTCACTCAGTCTTGAAGGCTTCACTTTAAGATATCTATACAATCGGATATGCTGTATTTTCCTTCAAGGCATTTGAAGCAAATTTCTGGGTTGAAACCTCGGGGCTAGGATTTTAAGCCAGTCTGCATAGGCTGGTTTTGTTACTGGTTTTCTTGAGGGTTTTTTTGTTTGTGTTGGTTTTGGGGTTTTTGTTTGTTTGTTTTTCTTGGGTGGTGTTTTGTTTTAACAGGGCTAAGCCAATTTTACAGGCAGTGTAAAATACAGACTCAGTGGGACCCACAGGTTGCATATCCTTCTCCCCAGAACATCTTCAGCTCTGAACAGAAGCAGGAGGAACATGCACAGATGGAACTGCTTGTTGGTTGAGGGTCTTTTCTGTAGTACTTGCTCAAGTGTAGCTCTGAACACGCTTCTAGGAACCTTAGATGACTTTGCTATTACACTTTCTCACTGAATTCTTAACAAAGATTTTCTTGCATGTAGATTTTGTTTTTTTTCCTTTCCTTAACAGGTCCCTCCCTTTTGCCTTGCACCTGCTGTTCCTCTGCCATTCAGGCAGCTGGTTCTGTAAGCCCCTTAAAATAGATTGTCCTTCTATTTATCACTAGAATTGCCTGGGATGAGGGAGCATAACATCCTTGTTCTCATTCTGCACTCCTGTCAAGAGGCACGAGCCCCTGACCTTTCTGAAGTACTTGAGCTGCCAGTGGTTTTCTTCCTCTAAGTTTGTAAAGGTTCTTCACATGTTCTTGAAGACCCCTGAAGGTCTTCACACAGTGAAGGCTGCTTATCCTGATGCTGGGTTTTTCTTTTGTTGTTTTTCTTTTCCAGTTTTGGTTTGTTTTTTTCTCTTTGGCTACCACAGATGTGGACCATGCCATTGCTAGCAGGCTCTGACTTTAATTGCAGACTCTGGGCAAATAGTAATTCCCAGCCTTTCTTCCTTGCAGGGAAAGTATGTGGAGTCACTGCAGTGGCATTCTTGGCACTCCTGAGAAGCAGAGGTTAAACCTGCCAGTATGGGCAGGCAGGGAGTGGCCCTGCCTGTAGAGGCCCAAACCAGTCATTTTAACCTGTGCATAGTAGCTGCAGGGAGGTTTAACACAGCTGATGATGAGGAGACAAAACTGAATCCAGCCGAGCACTGCACCCTCCCTCCCTGACATGAATGGGGGGGTTGACAGGGAACTTGGATTAGGATACGTCTAAAATGAATCAGTAGCAATAGGGGAGTGCAGTTAGTCTCTGAACCAGAATAGAGACAGATGTTCAGGAATTTGGTTTGTTTTTTTTACTCAATACCTGCACAGAAAAGAACAGGTCATTCCTGACAAGGTTCTCTAAAGACAGCTAGTGACTGTACAAGTTGACACTTGCTTCCATAGGAAGCCTATTGGAGTTCACGGAGAGTCTGGATGATGCTCTTAGTCCTATGGTGTAGTTTTAGGTAGTCCTGCATTTCAGGGAGTTGGAAGAGACTCATAAGGAACGTCAAGCCCAACTTGAGATATTCCATGACTCTTGGGCAGAGGTCTCAAGAGAGCTTAGACATAGTACATAGAGGGGAAAACTGGTGGTTTTCCTGTGGGTCAGAGTGCCTGGGAGTTAGGGTAGATCATCGTAGGATGAGAAGTTGAGGTGCTTTTTGTGTCCGATTCAGAGCCAAGTGCTGAACCAGATTCTTTGTTTTCAGAGTGTACTGTGCTTTTAGCAATACTTGTGTGAACTGTTGCAATACCATCAACAGAGCAGTGGTTTAACGTCTGTCGTGCTTCTAGTTGTGTGCCTAGACCTGTTATTTTACCAAAATATTTAGTGATTCTCAGTTTATAGGAAAGGTCCCCCTTTACTCCATATGTAATCATTTGGGTTTGGGTGTTGTCCTCAGATAGAAGTTATGTTGTGATTCACAGCTGAACCAAGAAATCTACAATGCTGTTCTTCGACTTCAGAGGAAAGAGAAAGGGAAGAGCTTTCTGTGTATTGACTGCCCAGTTACCAACTGGCATTTGAAAACAAACAAACAAAACCCAGCAAAAAAAACCCACATCAGAAATTTACATCTATCTCCATCTTGTTTTCTCTAGCCGTTGCTAAATACACAAACGCACACTCCTGCATGTGTGTATATATATCTGTTGAATATATTGTTATCTTAGGATCTTCCATGCAAAGAATTGCTAGGCAATTATCAGTTTCAACATGAAAAAGCCAGCATAGCTCTGAGAAATTGCTAATCTGTTTCACTTGCTTGGCTGACATTATGTAGGATTACATCCACCTTTTAGTATACCTGTGAGGAATACTTAAAGGAATTCTCATCCTTGATGACAGGTGAAATGAATATTAAAAGATTTAAACTTCATTAAAAGATGCAGATTTTAGAAAGCAGAACTGAAATTATCTCGGCGCATCAGGTTGGGTTTTACAGAGGGAATCTGTTGGCAGTCAGCCTTGACTGATACTTCTTATCTCATTGTAATGGATTCAGACTGTCCTACAAAAAATTGCTGTATGTTTGTATAAAAGAAAGAGCATTTTTTGCTCTTTCTTGTGACTGAGCAAGATTGGCATATCAGTTCCTTGGTCATCCTCCTTCAGTGATGCAGATAAAAATAAACATCTAGGAGGGGAAGGTTGTCTTGGTAAACCCATGACTCAGGAAGCCAAGGCTCGCTTCCTTGCTCTGGTGTTGACACGTTTGTCACCTTGACTGAATCACTTTAATTGCCTGCAAAACAAGAAAGATAGATTAGAATGAATGTAGTAGTGACTGTGAGATTGCAGTTGATTGTGAAATCGTGATTAATTGTGAGATTACAGGAGTAATGCAAGCAAAAAATCCAGAGGTCTGGCATGAAGTTGAGATCAGGGAAGAACAGCATAACCTGGGTTCTCTCAGCATTTCTGCTGTAAGTGATGTTGACGTTGCCAAGGTCAGCAAATTTAGAAACAGATTGCTACTGCTGTGGTGGGGTTTTTTTGTTCATTTTAAAGGGAGGGGGAGAAATCCAGTTGCTTTGGGAACTGGCTGAGGAATACTAATTTTTTTTCTCTGTGCATCATTATTGCAAAGCTTTCTTGAAGAATAAACCTGCCTTTTTCAAGTATTTGTTAGTACTTGTAATGATAAAGAGTTGTTTTCTGCATGTGTTTCATAAACATAGGTCTGCCCAATGAGTAAGACTCCCCATGTGGACCCAAACAAGTCTGGCCATGAAGTCTGGGAAGAGTTTTCCCTGAGTTTTACCCCTGCAGTGAAGGAAGTGGTGGAGTTTGCCAAGCGCATCCCAGGTTTCCGAGATCTCTCCCAACATGACCAGGTTAATCTTCTGAAGGCTGGGACCTTTGAGGTGAGACCACTGTGTGTATATTGTGGACCTGACAAGCTGTGCATCAGTCTGACCCCCTTAAAAATAAATAGAACTGGATTATATGGGGCAAAACCAGCTTGTTCGTGGATGCTGTTTCTTTAAGCTGATGGTGCCAGTGCTTCTGTTTGGTCAGATCTTGGTGAGCTGTCCCTCTTCCAACAAGCTTAAAATTGCTCAGGCTTTCAACCTCTTCCTCTTCCCTGGGCAGTAATAAATGAGTAGCGAGGAGTTTATTGGGTTTGCATAGGAGGAACTACTTTGAAAGCTGTCTTTGCTTAGCCTGGAGAGGAGCACAGTGCATCTGGAAGTGTGGCTAGTTTAGAAAGTTACCTATTGACCAGTTTTGTAGAGGAAAGTCTTTATCACTCTGTATGTCCTTCCTTCTGCCTCTGTGCTCCCTACCAAAGCCAGGGCATCCATCCTGACCAGCCACCACTAGCCTTTGATGGCAGTTGGGGGTTGCTGAAGCCTCCATCTCCAGCATAGTAACACTGGTAACTAGCTGTACTACTGCAGTTCTGTAGATGTCGTACCACCTGCAACGTGACTCACAGACTAATCCCACCAAGTCCTTGTGGTTAATTTCATCCACTTGTGATCATGACATATGTACGAATTAGTGGTGTTAAATTGGAAGTGATACTGGAGAGCTTGATGCTGTTTTATAATTAGTGACCTTCACCAAGAGACCTTTACTTAAGGTTTAAGTTCCTCTTCCATACTCCTGCATCTGTTGGAAACCATACACGTTTTATAAGTATTCACATGTCAAGTTTAAACATAAAGGGCTGGTAGAGCTGAAATCCCAAGTATTCAGTGTTGTGTGCTTTCCTGGGGAAGGCAGGACTGGTGATGTTTTTGCTCTTGTTTAGTTGATTTATTCGTTCAAAGAGAGATGCTGGATTTCATATTTACTTGAACTGAAGCCATTTCTTGTGTAATGTGATGGGTCTTCCACCTGCATTTGTTTAGCCTGGTTCTAAAATGGGTAATTGTTGGGCTGGAAAGTACAGGTTACACTGCAAGACCTGGTGCCTGGAGCATGTCAGTTTCTTTGTTTCTTCTATTTTGCTGTCATGTATTTTTTGCAGTTATTCTTGACCTTTTACAAGTCATCTACGGCTCCTGGAGCTAAGGGTTGTATTTTCAGTTCTTCACTACAGCTTGTTAAACTGGTGTTCACATTACACAAAAATGTTAGTTCCTTCCTCTGTAAAGTGGTATGCTGTCCAGTGCCTGCGAGGAGGGTAGAGAATCAAGCCTGAACTGTTCCTAGAATGCAAGATCAAATTTTCATGTTTTGCACGTAAAATGTTTGGTCCTGCCTTTTATTCACCTCAAGCCTATTCATATGCCTTTTTGCCAGTTACAAGCACTGCTGATAAGTTACTATATCAAAGAGAATTAATAATAATGTATGGCTGCATGCTTATCCCTGTTCACTTATTAATGAAACATTAATGATTTCTGTTACCAAGCTGGTACCTGTAGTTAAAGGCCTATGTTGGCATCTTAGCAACAGGGAAAAAAAAACCATAAACAAACAAATCCCAACAAACAAACAAATGAAAAAATAATGCTGCAGAGCACTGGAAAAAAACCAGACCCAGCAGGATTTATGAAATCATTGCAGTAGATGCAAAAACATCTTGAAAGCCTGGTACGTACAAGGTCATTTCTTTTTTCTGGGTAACTAAACTAGGATATCCCAACATCTGCATGTTAATAGAAGTAGCTGAGTAAAAGTACTGCCTCGGAGCCTGTTCTGGCTCCCTTCGGCACCAGTGTGTGGCTGTCTTGGCACTGTGCTTACCACTAGCTCATATTCAAGGAATGCTTGTTTGTCTGGGGACAAGAAGATGCATGGAGACTATGTTGGTGGAGAAGCAGCATAGCTGTATATAATTACACATATGTAAGCTAAGAAGCCCTCTTAAAACTGGGGGTACTGGGGACCTTGCTATATAGTGGTGGGATCTACATGGCCTTAATGGGAGCCAGGTTAGAAATAGCCATGAGTCTCAAATAAGGAACTCAACTGGATTTTTAGTTGGTCCTCCCCAACATCCACAAGCCTCCACTCCAGATGTAGTTGATGGCAGAACTAAGAAGGACCTTGGATCCATTGGGGTAGTGACTCAATTTCTGGGGGAGAAGTGAGCAAGCACTTACCTATGTGGAGACTTTCATGTGCTTATATTGCTATGGTCAGGTGATGGGGTTGAGCAGGTATATCCTCAGCATGCACAAATAAGAATCCTGAAGTGAAATGGGGTGAATTAATCATGTGCTATGCCCGTCTAAACCATTCTTCCTTAGATTAGAAGGGTGACATTGAAATCTATAGGTCTTTTCCTTAGTGTAAATCAACACAGTTTCATGGGCTTCAGTTTTGAATAACAATGTTAATGCTGGTTGCTCATTATTTAAAGTTAATGTTTCTGAAGCCCAGTTTGGTAAGGGAAATAACCATATTTAACTGAAAGGTTGGGGTACCTGGTAGGTCCCTGCTAATGCACAAGTTCAGCTGTGTCTGCCTGCCCTTTGTGTCCTTTTCTTGTATTCTGAGGGCTTCTGCACCTAGGTTTCTGCACGCTGTAGTCAATATCATCAAAGGACACATAGCTTAGCTGACAAAGGTGAACAATATATAGTGCTTATGTGTCCATCAAGATTGCTGCATGTCATTTGGCTGTTTAAATTTAGGAGCAGGTCATTTAACGTGCATGAATGGTGCTTAAATTCTCAAACATCTTCATTTTTTTGAGCCGTCCTTCTTTAAAGCTTGTCAAAAGCACCAGTCTTTGCTGAAAACCTGGTTCTCTTCTCAAATGTAGTACACATTTAAATTCATGCAGTTATGTAGGGTAAGTGACAAGAGACAACTTTCACACCAAGAGATTATCACAAGTCTGAAGTTCTAACCAGTGCCAGTTGGTTCATTTTCTCTAAATAAGAAGGCTGTTCTGTGCAGCTTAAACCTTGGACAAGTAAATAAGGTTGTTGAACGTGAGCAAATGAAACTTTACAAGCCATTCCAGAGGGAAACGTTCACAGTACGACTGAGAAACCACAAGAGAAATTTCAGCCCAGAGGGGTAAGTTCAGCACATGTCAACTGCTCCAGCCCAGGTGCTTATACCAAAAGGGTATTCCCAGCTGCAGCTACAGACCAGGTGCTGTTTCAAGCCCTGCTTCCCTTGACTTTTGAAGGCTGTACCTCTGGCTTCTTTCTACCAGAGCTCTTTAACATTCCTGTGGATACAGTGATGCAGCATGGTACTTTCCCAAAGAATGCCTAGTGGTCCAGATCATTAGGTGGTGTAAATCAGCATTGTTTCAATGGAGCTGCTCCACTTTACACCAAGCAAGAATCTGGTTCAGTATCTTCATTTTGCTTTTTGTGAGTGTGGCCAAGAAAGCCTTTCTTTTAATGCTCTGTATGCCTTTGGCTGTTCGATGGCTTAAGCAAGTTGACCTACTGGCATATTTATGAATGGCATTGTCTTTGTGGCTCAGTCTGTCTGAGGCTTACATTTTAATTTTCTTCCCTTTGGTGTGCTGTAGCCCCTCCCCTGCATCCACTGACAAATTTCTTCACTTGTTTGTTTCTCTCAGGCTACTGGGTCAGAGCTTGCACTGATTTTGACAGGTCAATAGCATGCTGTCAGTGTCTGTGTAGAATGCTTGTACAGCAGTTAATGAGACAGTTGGGATGATGTTAAAAGGTTTAATTTTTTCTTTGTCTTTCCTTGAATTCTGCCTATATTTATGTGGTTTTGTTCTGTTTTTTCTTCCACCAGGTTTTAATGGTACGGTTTGCGTCTCTGTTTGATGCAAAGGAACGTACCGTCACCTTCCTGAGTGGAAAGAAGTACAGTGTGGATGACCTGCATTCAATGGGAGCCGGTGATCTGCTCAACTCAATGTTTGAATTTAGCGAGAAACTAAATGCCCTGCAACTTAGTGATGAGGAAATGAGTTTGTTTACAGCAGTTGTCCTGGTATCTGCTGGTAAGGAGAGAAAGTTGAATTGCACCTTTGCCAACTATTAGATACATCTTTTTATTAGAAGATTCCTGTAAAATGTATACCTGTTCTTCCACATCTAAGTGCAACTTAGTAGGCTTTAAACTACTAGCAGCCTGTCAGTTACATATCTGCTTTTTTTGATACTGCCTTTTGGGAAGATGTGACAGTAGGCTTGTATTTTCTTACTACTTTCTATAGAATGCAAAAATGCATCTCATGGCTGCCTGGTGGCCATTTAGAAGCTATTTGTCTGACTTTTAAGTTTCCCAGGACAGCATCAGTGAAATGACTCCTGACTTGCACAGCTTAAGTCTTGGGAAAAGGCAGTATTTCTACTTCCAAGTACTGTCACGGAGGTCTATTGCATATTTTACTTAAATCCAAATCCAGCGGTTTGATCTCTGCCTATGTCAGCAAGAAAGCCCTGTTCATCTGCATTGTGACTTCTTACCACAAAAGGTCTGCCAATCCACTGACATCTTTGCCAGCCTCGTATCTTGTTTCAGTCACTGGATATACAGAACACCCTGGCCCACATTCAAAGAAGGATTAAGCACCTACTTCTGTAGTATTATCTAAAGCCTCAAATTAGGCACATTAACTCTGCATATAATGCCTGAAATACAAGATGCAGAATCCCTGCTTGCTGGGTAAGGAGCTCTCTAGAGGTAGCTAACAGGAATGCTAGTAGTGCCTACTTGAACAACAAGCCAGCATTTGGGGGCCACTTGCTTCTTTAACAAGTGTACATCTTCCACATGAGTGGTTTAGACCCACATTTTCCTTATCAGGAAGGGGCACCCCAGGCATCATGCTGTAGGCACATGAAGCCTCTGTAGACAAGGTAGGACAATTTAGTCTAATAGCTTTGTGCTATTCAGGCCTAACTGAAATGTTTTAACACACGATGGGCAGCTGTAGCCTTTTCAATTTGTAAGTGGTGGTAATGAGTAAAGGGTGGTACAGACTTTGCAAGCTTTGAAAGCTAGAATGAATGGCAGCATGAAGCAAGCATGGCACTGTAGTCAGCTAGTGAAAATGTTCAGTTAACAGAGAGAAACCTGGGGGTTTAGTTGCTTTTCCAGACTCCGCTTTACAAATTTTATCTTAAAAACCTAAATTGTCAAGAACTGGAGATAACCTTTAACTAAGGACTGAGAACCAGGCTTCTTCCCTCATTGTGTAATGCTACAACCACTCTTCTTGCTAGCTCAGCTGCTGGGCCCTAGAATGACACAATTGCTGTGTCACCTGTTTTGAATGTAAGTGGCTGTATCTGTTCTGTTAAATGTGCTTATAGCCCCAAACCAGCCTCCTCCAGGCTTTTAGATGGTGTTTCATGCAGTTGCTAGCTCCCAGTAGGGCTTAGCTTAGGGATGGTCTGTAACATGCAACATGTAATATCAGAATCGTGCAAGATGACAAAAAGAGGTGGAGTTTGGTATTCAGCCTTCTTGCAGCTGCTGAGGATTTTTCAGATCATAGTTTGGACATCACTGCTACCTAGCTTAGCTGCTGTGTGATCTCATCTGCAGTCTGATAACAGCCTTCCTGGACATCTTCACAAGCTGTTTCTAGGGCTTTATAAAATACAGCTTTGCTAGTGTTTTAATGCTTATCCTATGTTCCAGACACAGTAGCATCCTTGATGATCGCTGTGAGTCTAGCAGCTTTCAGATCAACTTCACTCTGTAACTTGTAACTGAATGGAAGTGCTGCGGTTGTTACTTGCTCAAGTGAGTAAAGTGAGCAAGCTTCATATGTGGGCAGGTGCCTGAGAAGAGCAGAATTGTCCCCAACACAGCTTTTGTGGAAGCCAGGAGGAGAAGGTACTGGTAGAACTGAAGGATCATGGGCACTTGTTGATTAAACAGATCTTGAATGACAGATCCTCTACACTCTGCCCCTCAAGGAGGAGGCGTAGAGTAATTTCCCATAAGGTGGAGGAAGAGCTCAATTAGAGAAGGAGGAAGGGTTCAGGAATAGCATTAAAGAAGATGACATGGAGATGCAGGCAAAGGCAAAGATGCTGTAACTGAAAGTAGAACTGAAAGTGGAAGAATAAAATCTTAATGCAATTAGGATGACTCCATCTCAGAAAGAAAGCTACTCAAGAAAAGATTGTCAGGAAGAAAGCAAAGTAGTCAAGATTTACATCAGCTCCAGAAGCAGACAAGAGTGTCGGACTGTTGAATCCTGCTTATGTGATCCAGAATGTAGCATACCATGCTGCACTAGTTAAAAATCTTTTAAATTAAAAAACAAAAAACCCCAAAACAATCCAAAAACCCATGAGCAAACCAACCAACGCAAAACTAAACATCAGTGGGGAAAAAAAGAAATGTTCAGAACTCTCTTAGTGCTAGTAGGGAGGAGACTTGTCAGAAGCATCTGCACATTAACACTGGATGAATACCCAGTCTTAGGAAGGGTACTTAGAATGTGCAGAAAGAAGCAGGAGTAGTAGCAAGGAGTGCGTGTAACTGTGTAGAACCTCTTGTTTTGGTGTCATATGCAAAGAGAGGAAAAGCGGGGCCATACAGTGGAGACGTGGGAGTATTTCTGGTGGTGCTGAGGAATTACATTTGTACCATTCCAAAACTGAAAGAACCTTTGGCTTCAGTTACCTAGATGTGTTGAAGATGAAGGAGAGATAGCAATTTGGATCATGGGCTCTAAAGAAGGGAGAAGCAAGGTGGAAGCAAAGCTGAAAGAATGTGTTTTTCACAGGACTAGATACCAGATAATCTCTTAACTGAGGGTGATACTTTGTGGTAGAAGAATGTATAATACACACCCTCTATTATTCTTTCTTATTGGGATAGTACTAACAGAAACTTCTGCTGGCCCCTGGGAGCAACTAGAAGTAGGCTAAGAGGGAAGGAGAAGAAAGACTTGCACTAATTGAAGAGAGGAGCCTACAGTAACTTGCTGGAGACAGCCAGGAAAGACTGGACTGCATTCTTCTGCCTTCAGAGGCAAGGCAGGACTGTTGCCGCTCCACAGAGCTCTTGAGAAGTCTCATATGGCTTATGTTGTCATCTCTGCTCAGGGTAGAACAATCAGGTTGTGTGAAGTGGGGGGTAACTGGGGTAGATGGTTTAACCAATAAAGGCAGAGGGGCATTTCCTCACTCATGCTGTCATGGAGAAAGCATGACAGTCTTCACTGTTGTGGTTTAAGTCCAGCTGGCAACCCAGAACCACACAGCTGCTTGCTCACTCCCCCTGCTTCCTCCCCCTGCTCCCAGAGGGATGGGGAGGAGGATCGAAAGAATGTAACTCCTGTGGCCTGAGGTAAGAGCAGTCCAGTAACTAAGGTATAACACAAATCACTGCTGCTACCACCAATAATAATAATGATAAAGGAAATAACAAGGGAAGAGAATACAACCGCTCACCACCCACCGACCGATACCCAGCCCAACCAACCAGTGATCTAGCACTTCTGGGTAACTGGCCCCCAGTTTATATACTGGGCATGACGTGCTGTGGTATGGAATACTTCTTTGGTCAGTTTGGGTCTGGTGTCCTGCCTCTGCTTCCTTCTGGCTTCCCCTCCTCCCTGACAGAGCATGAGACTCAGAAAGTCCTTGGTCAGAATAAACATTGCTGAGCAGTAACTAAAAACATCGGTGTTATCAGCACTGTTACCAGGCTGAAAGTCACAAACCACAGCTCTGCACCAGCTACTAAGAAGGAGAAAAATGACTGCTACTGCTGAATCCAGGACATCACAGAAGAGTGGAATGTGTGCCAATAATTCGATATTAATCGAAGTTCCTAATTGTTAGAATAGAAGGTTCTGGAACAGTCTTTCTGAAGAAACAAAACACATTAACTTCTTCAAGATGGATCATTAAGTGGTTTATTTAATATTTTTTCCCCATAGCAGTAGGGACCTGCACCAGTCTGGTAGGACTTCCTGGACTCTGTTCACCTGAGAGATCTGATAGGATTGACACTGACAGCATAAGGAAGGGATTCCCACTCTGACTGTAAGATCTGACTCAGTGTTATTCCAGAAAGCTGTTGTCATTCTGTGTCCCAGTTCGTGAAGTGCTTAAGTATGTGTACACATCAAAGCACATTTCTATTCATGTCCATCACTCGTGTATGTATGTGCCCTGCTGAATTTACTTAGTGTTTAAGAAGACAGGATACAGTTTGGAAAAAACAGCTCCTGTGCATGGTTGTTAGATGAGGCATTTTGCTTAAAAATCCATCCTTTCAAGCTGGTTACTTAGGTTCCACCTAAGGACAACAGGCTTGTTCTTAAATGCAATTTTCTGGAAAGGGGTGATTTGAGCATGGGATGAGTGCAGTAAGTGGAAGCACAATATTTTTCTTCATGTTGAAATTCTTCCTCAGCTGGGAATTTTTGGGTGCATCATGTTTCACTTTGTAGGTGCTTCAGAACACACTCGGAAATAGTGGCCAGTCATGTCAAGGCTTGTACTTCCCTTGTCTTGGGGATCCCATTGGGCAGATATGAGTGTGGGTTGTCCCGAGTGGGATTTCTCACTCAAGCATAAACTTCCAGTTTAAGTTTAGGGTTCTGTGTCCAGCCTTGCGAAATGTTGGGGCTTCTTGCTTTCATGTGTCCTCTCTCCTTGCATTGAAATCTGTGAATCAGCAAAACATTTAAGTGTGTGCATCAGTCTGTCCTTTGCTGGAAACATGGGTAAGTGATTACAGGAAAGGTGATTGAATGATGCCAGGTCCACGTGAGCTTAATACTTTACAAAGTAAATAACATTTGAAAGACTTTTGGTATTGTGGGTTTGAAACGTCTGACATAAGTATTTAATTATTCTTGTGCTTGTTAATGTAGTGAGTGATTCTTGCAGTGGTTTTATGGTGCAAAGTATGTAACTACATCCATTCAGTCTTCCCCCTCCCTGTTTTTCTCTCTCTTACCCCCCCTCTTCTCCACCGCCAATCCCTCCACCCCTTTCTTTTTAGATCGCTCCGGAATAGAAAATGTCAATTCTGTGGAGGCGCTTCAGGAAACACTAATCCGTGCATTAAGGACCTTAATAATGAAAAACCACCCCAACGAAGCCTCTATTTTCACAAAACTTCTTTTGAAGTTGCCCGACTTGCGTTCCTTAAACAACATGCACTCTGAAGAACTCTTGGCCTTTAAAGTTCACCCATAGGCCTTTAGGTCTCATTTGTACTTGGACTTGCCTCGTGTTAAAATGTTTTGTGCTAAAATATGTATTTATACAGTTGTACCACTTGTTGGAGAGAGAGAGTTCACAGACTGTGAACAATTGATAGCTGTCCCTTAACCATGCAATAACGCTTCAGCAGGTGCTTTCAGCTAGCGGCGGCGCAGCATTCAGACTCCTCCAAAGACATCCAGACCCAGCTGTGCTGCACTTCTGCGGAGGAGGTTGTGATAAGCCCCAGTAAATATGGACTGCTCTTTCCTTTAGAAAAAAAGAACCACCGCTGCCCTCTCATGTAAACTGAACGCAGAAGAGCTGTGTATGTGCATACAGAGCATGGAATGGGGTGGGAACGATCCTGCGCTAGTAGGAACATGGAAGAGCTGATTTAATTGGTCTTTCACTTATCTTATAGATGTATGTCTGTCTTTTGATAACTCACTCATGGTTTCCACTGTTGTTATTCCATTAAACCTGATGGAATGATTTCAGCCTGCACCAACTCTTCACTGAGCATGTGTTCATGCCATGTGTATATAATATAAATAATTAAGTAATGAGTGTTTATGGCTATATAAAGTACAGAGTTGTGTGTATATATGTGTATGTATATAAATAGTTCTATACATAAAGTATACATATAATTTCTTCACAATATTTTAAACTGTGGAGGAATTTAAACTTACAACAGAAGGTGATCTATGGGAAGAACCAAATAGATGCACTTTGCATATTGCTGAACTAATTAGCTGACCATTTTTTAGAAAACATCCAGTTTGCATTAATATGCTGTGTTTGTTAATTTGAAAAAACAAAACCAACATCAAAACAAAAAGACCAAAACCAAACCCAGAATGGCACCAAAGGGGCAGAGCACGATTCAGTTTATAGAAGGGGTTTGTGTGGAATCTCAAGTGGAGAGGGTTAGTTGTGTTGCAACTGAGATTGTCTGTTGCCACTGAGGTTTTTATATTCTGATGAACGTTAAAGAAGCACCAGATGCTCTTCAGAAACTTCAGCACAGCCAGAAAGAAGCTATCAAATGAATAACAGTATCTATCAGAGGAAAAAAAAAAACACAAAAAACCAAAAAAAAAGTGGGAAAAATGTGTCCATGGTTGCATTTGGGTGTCTGTGTGTTCTGTGACTGTTTATTTCTTGCAATACATCATTTTGCTGCTTCATTGCTAAATGAGAATTGAAAATGAAAATGTGAGATTCCCCATGTCTTTTCACAATCTGGGCTTTGTGGTTCTCATGTCTGTTCTTCTCTCCACCGGTGCGTGTGCATGTGCGTGTGTGTGTGTATGTGCAGAGAAGGTGCAATGGATGGTCTGGATTTTTTTTCTTTTAAAACTACCACAAAACCCAGCCAAATAAGTGGGACTTCTTTTTTTTTGTTGTTTATGCCAGTAGCAAATTACAAAGCAGATCCTCAAGGCTAAAGATTCTGCTGGTTTTCCATCTAGGAAAGTGGCGCTCTATGGTTTTTTTTCCCCTCCATTTGTAGCAGGACCTGGCACCAGAAAAGAGAGACTTTTAAAAGTCAAAGCAGTTGTGTTAATTAGCTATGTTTATGTTTTGCTAATGTGGGAAGAAGCAGCTCCCTTACGGCTGTGTTTAGTTACCTTAGAGAGGTAGGTAGCCTTCTGGGACTGTAGTGCTTAGTAACACTACTGTGCAGAGGGAGAGACCTCTCTGGTTATTGCTGTGTTCAGGTGTATGCAGTAGTTGAGGCCAGGAGCCAGGAAGCCACCAGACTGCAGGGCTCTTGCTGTGCAGGAGCAGCTCTGGCACATGAGTGATTCAGTGGGAGCCCGTGTGCCTGCCATGGAGCTGGAGCAGAGGCAGACCTCAGCCTGCCCCTGAGTATCAGGAGCTGGGCAGGGGATGGGAGGCTTGCACCCTACCATGGCTCTGGTCACCTTTGGGCTAGGGATTTCCCCTTGCACAGTGGTAAGGAGTGCTGGCCAGGACCCTGAGAGCAGGAGAGGGCATGTGCTTGAACACATTTGGCCTTAGCTTTGGCTATGGAGAAGAGCGCTTTACCCTCCTCCACTGCTGCAGGGAGAGCTGCCCTCCTGCATCGGTCTGCTTTAACCACTGGATAATGGCCCCTTCGTTCATACAGTTTTGCTGTCCAAATGTACTATCCATGGCATACTGTCCTAATTTCTGTTAACAGTCTGCATCCTAACAGTATTATTTGTTTGATAACTTCAGTGAATGGTGCATTGAGCCGTTCAAACTTTAGAAAGGACAGTTACGTTTTGTATTGTTTAGGAGCTAAAATTACTTCTTTTTAGACCCCATTTCAAATGTGGAAAGTACAGTTAACCATTGGTTGTTTTGAGAGGGAAGGAGGCTTCTTACAGAGATTGCCACCCTACAACTGTGTTTTGTTGTGTTTTGTTTTATTTTCTTTAAACTGTATTATTAAGCCTTTAGGAATGTATAACCAGGACCAAGTAATTACTGCTTATTAAACTTTTAGTTAGATTGACCATGTATGTCTATAGATAGGTATTCTAACTTGTGCAGTTTCATTTGAGATAATCTTCCTGTACATAATGGAAAAACTCAGAGGAAAAAAAAAGCCCCAAACAGATTGACTGAACAAAAAGGTGATTAAAGTACGGTTCCAAAGTGATCCATGTATTACCAACCCTAGCTGGACTCTTAGAAGAAAATCTAAACTCATTGTGTTAGCTGTGTATTGTGAGCTCTTCTTTTACTGTGTCACTGGTTATACACTTGTTAAATGCTGAGATAATAGACTTCATGCCAGGCATTTGAGTACTGTAGATTGGGTCATTGCTGAAAGATTAATGTACTGTATGACTTAAATGAAAATTTTTATTCTTGATTTTATTCTTGTTTTGAAAGATTAAATATGGGCATTACATCAGCAAGAGAAACCGTGCTTCTGTATTCTTTGTATAAAATCTAGAGGGGAAGGCAACATGCTGAGATGAACAAAGCAGAAGTAATGGATGAGAACATCAGCTGCTGTGACAGGGGCTGCGCTGGTGTATGGTGGCTAGGAGCCTGTGTCTTGGTCCACTTGTAATACACATCTGCACTGCCAGGGGGTTGGCTGGTGCAATTTTGGGGGTATTGTCAGTAAAAGTGGTAGTTATTTTAAACACCTTAATTACCCTCAGGAATTTACCTTTGAAACTGAAAATAGGATATGGTTTAATGTCTGGTAAATGTAGTCTTAAGGATAGGTTAAAAGAGAGGTAGATGGGAAACAGCATGGGAAGGGCAAAGATGTGTTTGATTTTTACAGCTTGATTTCCTAGTTTGAAGTGTTACTGGTTAGGAGACAAGCTTCTCAGGAAATGTTCTGTCTATTGGTGTTTGAAAGCAAAACAAACTCCCCAAACAGAAACAAAGTTACGACTGCCAGCATTGGAAAGAGTAATAGCACAGAAATGCTTTTTATAAGACAATATAAAGTGGCACTATAAAGTGGCATGTTCGCATGCGGCTTTGCTTGTTGCCGCCTACTGTGAGACCCTGTGAGCAGGGCCGTGAGCCATGGAGGTCCCAGGGCGTGGGAGGTCCTTGGGAAGAGCTCTTTCCAGCTTCAGCTGGAAGGGTCCAGGGGTTATTTTTCCCTGTTTGGCTCCAAGAGCCTCACCACAGCAAATGGGGCAGACTGGAGGGGTGTTCCCAGTAAAAACACAATTCCGTTCCCCCCTTTCCTGCTCTCCCAGTTAGGCAAGATGCTCTGGGGATGGGGAAGTGAAGCATTTGTGCTTGTTTGTGGGAAGCATGCTGGCATTTGAATCTACAGCACCAACTCAAGTGCGAACGTGCCTGCAGCAGCCTGCCCCATCTCTGTCCTCACTCCACGAGGAAATAAATGGACAATGTCGCATGGAAAACGGGTAAGAGTGTCACTGTGTGAAAGTATAAACTGCCGAGGGGGTGGGCAGTCTGCTTGTGCTCATGACCCATGGACTGTACGTGGGGTGGGAGGGAATCAGCATTTGCAGCTGAACCGTAGGGCACTTTGATTACAGAAACAGTTCATACAAGGAAATACTTGGCACTTCCTTCCCTTTGATGAGCACAGGGAGCAGCTGCCAGAACCTCCATCAGTGAATACCTTTTGTTTTCCCCTTTAATTTGTTTCTTGTAAGGTTGAAGTTCGGAGTGGGGAGGGAGGAACATCCGGATATGGGAGAGTCTGGAGACACCCAGCCCTAGCAGCTGACTGAGCAGCAATGGGCAGGCCAGTGTGGAGGATGTGCTCACTCGGCAAGAAAGTTGGTCAAGGACACAGCAGTGTTGTCAGGGAGAGGAGCTGAGCAGGCGTGTGTGTGTGTAGGCTGCACGTTGCTGGATATCTGGAAGAAACAGGTCCGTGCACTCCAGCAGACACTGCTCTGCTGCACCAAGCAGCTTCACTGGGCAGTTTATACCAACTGCAAATGCACACCATAGTATGTTTGTTGTAAGGCAGAGCTTGCAGTGATGGGGAACTGAACTCTCTGGTCTCCTATGGCTATAGGAACAAAACACTCCTGCCTGGCCTGGATCCCCAAGGCAGGCTGTGTGGCTGTCCATGACAGTTGCTCCCCGGCATTGCTCTCTGGGACAGCATTTGCCTCTGGCTGGAGGACCACTCTCAGGGTTTTTTTTGTAAGTGTTCATGCTTAAAACTGGGGAAGTGTTTTCTTAAATCATAGAATCACAGAATGGTTTGTGTTGGAAGGGACCTTAAAGCTCATCCAGCTCCACACCCCTGCCATGGGCAGGGACACCTTCCACTAGACCAGGTTGCTCCAAGCCCCATCCAACCTGGCCTTGAACACTGTCAGGGATGGGGCAGCCACAGCCTCTCTGGGCAACCTGTGCCAGGGCCTCAGCACCCTCACAGGGAAGAACTTCCTATCTCAATTTTCCCCTCTTCCAGTTTAAAGCCATTTTCCCTTGTCTGATCGTTGCATGCCCTTGTAGAGTCCCTTCTCTCTGCCCAGCTCTCCACACCTCATCTTAAGAAGACTGTAGCTCAAATTATTTCATAGAACAGTGTTGAGTGCTACAAATAAGGTGGCACAAGGGCAGAGGGAAGTATGACATGTTAAAAGCCCATCTGACCCAGAAGGTGCAGCTCAAACTGAAGCACAGCTAGAGAGGCCTGCTGGATTCCTGATGTATCAGAGCTCTTCTCCATCATGTGTAATACTCCAACAGACCTCATCTAGGCAGCCCTGGATTAGCTGCAAGGCTAGGTAATTGCTGCCTTGCTTTTCATTTACTTAATGCAGACACTCAAAGCTCTGTGGTGTATAAGCAGTGGTGATGGTTTATAAAACAAGGCTGACACTAATGCCTCCTCTTAAGCCACTTTGGCAGGTTAGGTTGCCAGCACACAGGTGGAGATTGCTTCTGACCTAGGCTGGAGACTGACCCTATTCTCACATAGTCCCAGAATATGAAAGGATCTCAAGGAGAACTTCAGGTACCCCTTTGTCCCCTTCTCTCTGCTCCTTTGGCCAAAATACAGCTGCAGAAGCCCCGGGAAGCAACCCAGATCTGTGTACCAGTGTGACAGTCTGGTAGTTGGCTTCTCTTCTGCAGGATAAACACATGGCTAAACGGCCACTTAATGTGTGCTTGGGTCCTCAGTGACAGATGACACAAATGATTTAAGAATGCTGCCTTTCCATTTCTCTACTCCAGTCCCTCTTAGGCTGGTCTAGGGTGCAGAGATCAGGCCATGCTGCATGGAGGGTTTTTCCTTTTCACCTTTCTGTCCCTGCCCAATACCAGTCTTTCCAGCCTAATCTCATGATGCTTAAAGGGG